CTTTCTCGTCTTCTGTATGAGTACTTAAACGACAGTTGTGAGTTGACGCTTCTTCCACTGGTGCACTTGTCGGAACAGACTATGCGGCTTAAATGGCGATAATAACATAGAAATAGCGAATAAAAAAACAATAAGCGTGGAACGGCAAGATCGGCTATTGAGCTAACCCCATTATCGCACAGTCTTATAATGTTGTGAAAAACTATACACTATGATTAATATAATGAGTATTATCCATTACCCTATTAACTGTCAGTAGCTGTCGTGCACCCTTCATATGCTTTATATTGTTTTCCTGAACATAAAAAGTGTAATCAATAATTTCCGTCGGCTAAAAATCAGTTATGTGGTGACGCAACAATATCACGTGCAAATCAGTTAGAACCAACTCGATGAAAGTCGGCACATAATGTGACTTTTAATATCTGTTATCTGAAGCAAGCGCCCGCGTGTTTTGTTTGTGCGTGTGCACCTTGAGAGTGAAATTCGGCTAATGAATCTCAATGTCGCTAAGGCTTATAACAGCTTAGAATATCCTATACTCTTGAGAACGCTGGCTTCCATCCATCTACTAACTTGTACCCAACCAAGCAAGCATAGATTTAAAACTTCTTTTTCTCAAATATATTTTTTTTGTTCTGATGGTAATATAAAGTCTCGGTACTTTGCACGAAATAGGAATCCACCCTAGGGATCAGCGTTATCTCCACTTCTGTTTAATATTCTGCTAAGCTCCATTCCTATACAACCGGATATCGCAGCGTTTGTATACGCGGATGACATTGTTCTTTTTTCCGGCTGATTTTAGTATATAAGCACTATGTAAACAAATTTATTTATTTATTTATTTATTTATTATTTGAAAAGACTGCAGGCCTTTCTCATGCCCTGGCAGGTTCCAGGCAACAATACACAATAGTATCATATACAACGCTAAAAAGAAAAAAACGACATTACATAAATACATAACGACGGAGAACATAGTACATTAAAAATTCAATCAAGCAATGACACAAAATTAAACACTTACAGTTTTCATCTCATTCAGCAAAAGGCACTGTACAGAATACTTGCTTTCATGAGATTACATTCAACGAATGCTGATACAAAAAAATATATGAATTTTTAGGATATCCTACATATTAAAATCAATGACATTTTGGCTATAAGATCTCCTAAAAGTGCTTAGTCAAGCCATCTACGAATTGCAGGCATACCTAAAATTGATTGTTAGCTGGTTATTAAAAGTAAACCTCGTGATCAATCCCACAAAATGTGAAGTTAAGTTTTGACGTTCCCGATACGTTTTGACGTAACGGCAGACCTAGGCCTACGTATATCGCGGCAGTTAATCCACCCTGTCAAACACCTCCGATATTTGGGAGTGATATATGATGACCGAACTAACTGGACAAAACATATTGAACATATTGGAGCTAGAGGCACAAAAGTTGTTGGTCGACTGCTGATGCTGAAATGCTCTGACAGACATACCGGACTGAAAAGATCGGCACTTATTATTTTGCGCTAAAGCTACTTGAGATGAATCTAGAATTTCGGTTCGTCATGTTCTCGAGATTACCAAATACAAATGGCAATTTTTTTGTTCTGCTTGAAAAGCGTGTTTTTAAATTATGCCTGTGATCCCTTATTATTTTGTCAATGACGTTCTCTACTTAAAGGCTCGTCTTCCTCGCCTCTCTTGCTCGCTTTAAACTGCTCACAGTGAAAATGGACGTAGATGTCTTCTCAAGCCATATGTTAGCACGACAGGCGCACGGTCCCTTATCCCAAACTCAACATTTATGTCGCAGCAACGGGGACAGCCCGTTCCTTAACTTAGCTATACTATCGCTGTTTGTACCTTGAATATTACCATTAAAAATATATGCACAGTGGTACTTCATATAACCCGACTACTCGAATATCTGCAGAAAACGCATTAGTAATTGTTCAAGACACTTGTTTTACTTATTTTACTAGCTATGTTAATGAACCTAGCTATGCTAGCTAACATGCTAGCATAGCTAGTGCTAGCTAACATAGCACTAGCTATGTTAATGAACCATCTGCGCAGTTTTGAAACGCGCTGTATAATTGCTTCTGAACAATATGTCGCAGACAGAAAATTCGGAGATGGAATTTAGTATGCAGTACCTTTAGATTTCTCCTTTTACGTATGTATACCGGACGACACGTCGATTTTTGAGGGTGAAATTCTAGCAGTTACCTTCGCACTGCAGAAAGTCCGACAAACTCTCACTAAAGTAACAATCCTCTCAGACACTCAGCCGATGTGCGAACGCCCTAGAACAGACGCCAAACACCCGCAACATAATTTTCTAGGTTGGTGCCAGCGCACCTTCAAGGCCAGGCACGCAAGTATACCCGAGTAGGTGACCCCTGATCATTTGGCACGCTCTGATGATTCTTGTCGTTCAAATATTCCCTTTGCAGCCTAATGAATGCCAATTTTAGAAGTTACATTTTTCTTAACTGCACTGTGCGTGACAACCTACTAAATGTTTCTTATTTTAAACATCTTAAAGTTTCCTGGATCACAAATGGTTGCGAATTCCGACAGTGGGAGGTGGAAGTGACGAGGACGAGATGACGAATGTCTCTCCTGAATCTATGCGCTAACAGAATAGGTCATTGTAACTTTCCGTTATGCGCCTACTGTACGAACGTTCAATCTATAGACTTTTTTGCTATTTTGTCGAAGGCAAACGGACCTACCACAGCGCCAGCTGGGGAGGCCCCTCTCAAGGATCGGCATTCCTCTTACTGTTACCGGCCTACTTTCTTTGCGGCAATAAAACTGAGCGATGCTCACATTGAGGTAAGTTATGCTGGGCACAAATTTATTACAGCATCCAGAAGATTAGTTCTCTTAGCCATTCCGAACTCACTGATTACCCACAGCTTAAATATTCAAATTTTACAGCAAAAAACTAATAGGCCGAATGTAGCGATTCAGACACTTGGCCTACCACCTCTCGCGCTAAGTGCCAAAAAAACTCTTAAAAACAACGACAAAGCAAAGGAGGACAAAAATAAATGTATTCAGGTTTTCATTGATGGCAACCTCCAGGTAGCAGGAATTATTTAATGAGATAAGAAGCGCAATACACGTGTTATTTATCTAGAACTTTTTGTTTGATTCAAATATGGGACAGTGGAGGATACAAAAAGCATACCGGTGATTTACTGACCACTTGTCTTACCGCAGGTACCTTTAACTTTAAAGACATTTAATGGAGTGAACACAATATTTAAGGAGGGATCGACTTGATATTGTTTAAAAACCATTCTAACAGTCTGTTTGGGTAGCGAAAAACAAATTATTTATAAATTATTCCGCTTAATTAAGCGGGTAAACTGAAGTCACGTGCCGTCAGTTCACGAGACGTCAATTTTTCGTCTAAATTTAGCGGGGTGGATTTGCTTCGTGGTGCCAAGTTCTGCTGTTATACTATGGGATACCATCGCATCATATGACGTCCATTTTCAAGGAGAAATCAAACGGGGAAATGCAAGGGCAAAAGTACGAACGTTCGAAAATGCAGATTTCTGGGATTAGAGGGTTCCGTTCAAAAGCGTTCCATGCTTCAATAATCACGCGGTGACAACAGGGTGAAATGTTTTCTAACAGCAATCTAGTTTCGCTGACGCTAGGCGGTTTTTAGTGACTCCACATATTTTACGTATATACATATGTAAAAAATGAAAGCCGCTTACAATCCTCTGTGATGCCGAATTAGACCGCAACTGTTGAGGAGGAGGATAGGAGGATACGGAGTGGAGGGTCACGTGGGACATCATGAGGCTAAATTTTCCCACTAAATTGGCGGGAAATTTTTTCGCTACATTTTGCGGGAAAATAATTTCGCTACGCTATATTTAGCGGGAAAATTTTACTCTCGTGACGTCACGTCTGACGTGAGACGTGACTTTACGTGTGACGTGGCAAGGGTAAAATGTTCCCGCTAAATTAGACGGTAAATTTTTCCGCTAAATCCCGGCAAATCTAGCGGTCAAAATTTTGCCTTCATTACGCCACGCGTGACATCATTATGGGAAACGTCCCCTAATGCAAAACGCGGTTACGCCGACGGTAACGTCGACGCCGCTCAAGCCGCACACGGGCGCCTAAGAGCTAGCGCTCTAAAAGAGTTTGTCGTGAACTCTGACAACTTGGCGACCCCATCGGAGTAAACGCCTCACCCAGTAGAGGCCAACGCAAATTATTTGCGTCGACCTCAAAAACGACACGGGACGAATGCGGGCGACAACCCGACAAATAGGTTTGTTTTGGACCGATAAAATCGGTTAAAGAACTAAAGTCAACGGTTTACGCATTCGACGATTGAATCGGTAGATTACGGGATCAAATTCAAAGCCTTAGTTAAAATATCTTCAAAGTGAGCCGAGGTCAAACAGCTAATACGACGCACAAAATACGCTCTGCAGGCACTCTCTGAGGTGTGCTCGCAGATAATTATGACGTCGAACTCCGTTTCCTTGGTATGATGTATATAAGACTGCAGCAATAGTTATCGAAAGAAGCAGCGCACAAAATATCCCCACAGCAAGTTGCAAACGGTTTTAAAACGAAACCAATATTCGCATTGTCCACGCGCCGAACCCGCGAGTTAATCGTTTTCTAAAAAGAAAAACGGTACAAGGAACGATTTTATCACTATTCAATTGCCGTTAAATTTACGGTTGTTTTACGGCATCTTGTCAAGCCTTTTTTGGGATGGTAGCGCAGAGGCAAACTGAAACAATGGCATGATTCCATCAGTAGGGAAAGGTGGAAAGGAGGGGGGGGGGGGGGGGGGGCAGAAAAGTAAGTTTAGCCTGCCGTGTAGTACGTGCATGGCGAACCCGAACGATGTAGCCGAAAGAATGGCGAATACAACCCGACACACTGGGAAGGGAGAGCCGAGCAGCGGGCCACGGAGAGAAGGACGATCGCGCCCAGTCTGCGGCTTCCAGGCGTCCCGTGGCCTCCCCCGTGCTCGTGGCCCGCTGCTCGGCTCTCCCTTCCCAGTGTGTCGAGGTTGCATTCGCCGTTGTTTGGGCTACATCGTTCGTGTTCGCCATACACGGCGAACGCGCTCGTGATACACGGCAGAGCCTGTCTCCATTCCGACAGCTTTGCGCACAAAAGGCCCCCGCGTTAGAGGAAAACAAAATAGACGTGCGGACGCCTCTTAATGTCCTGGTGTTTCTGTGCTGTGCTTCTCCCTTTCGTTCTCTCTTCTCACGCTAATGACGGGGAGATCGCTGCTGCGGTGGCCAGAGGCTGCAGCTGGGCGGGCCTGGCGTCGCCCTCACCCCGTCTGAACGCTCGCCACAAACGACATCTGGCCAAGGTCACCGAGGTTTCCGGTACGCGAAACGCCTGTGACACCGTGAATCTCGTATAGGCCATGCATCTGCCCGCTCTCTGGCCGACGGCCGTCAGAAGATGTTGAGTGCGTCGATACAACGACGCGCTGCCATTCTCGTGACTGTCCTTGTGTTTTCGATCGTCGCGGTGCAGAGGATCTCTCGACGTTTCTATCAAACGGAAAGTGAGTGCCTTTTTCTTTTTAATAGCGTTCCGTACATTGGTGGACTTGGTAGGAGCGGAATACGGTGCTTCTAAAGGGATCCGGTACCTTACCAGACACTAAAGCCACATGTCTCTGTGCTTCTACATCGTACACAAGACAGGGAGTGTTCTGCAAAGATGTATAACTATCTGCGGAGACACGTCTCATGCACGTTCCATTTATATTTTATTCATACATATGTGTGCTTCAAACATGTACGTAAACCTTTTTTTTTTTCGTTTTTTTCTTTTTTGCCCAAAGTGACAGGACATTTATACAAGAAAGAAACCCTCCGCAAAACATTGTCTGCAGACTGATTTTTTTTTTATGACGTACGTATGAGCAGTGTGACCACCGCTTAAGAAATATGATGCGCCTAACCTTCCGGAGAGTACTTGAAAACACCGACCGCCGCAATGTACGGCGTGAGTTTGGCGTATGAAAAGGTTGGAAATATGTTCACACCCAGGAGAAACCGCCTGCGCCGTGAAACTGAGCATGGCGGTTCAAACTGCTCAATATCCACATCGCAGACTTCTTTCCTTGAGTCTAATTTTCAGCCTTGTCATACGGCCGTACATCCCCCGTAGATGGCAGCGGTTGGCTCTTCCAAACGTTTTCAGGGAGAGTAGGTGCTCCAGGTTTCTTGCGTGGAGTTCGGTACAACTGGTAAGTAAGCAACGCTTCAGATTAACAACACTCGATGAACCATCTGGGTGCGTAAAATCATTGACGCGAGTTATCTAAAGCTTTACCCGAAACCGCACGAATCACTTTCTTTCCTGATCCAGAGATAGCCAAAAAGGTATTTAGCGGTGTCTGTAATGGCGCGTTTGCACTAGTGATTTCGCGGCCCAATCCGCACAGGCGGAAAGTTGGTTTTGGAGTCAGGTGGCGCAATCAATTCGAGGTTGAGGAAGATCTGAACCAGACCGGGGCCCATATCTAGGTTGTTCGCCAGACGAGTCATTTGGCCAAACGGTTCCAAGAACCACCATCCTCCTGCGTGGTTGCGCCCGCGAATCCGCGAGTTTAAATCCGCCATTAAGGTGGGGAAGTTACGTTTCTTCAATAGTAACAATCGCGCCAAAATCTCCCGCTCCGCACGAAGTGTCCATAAACCGATGTAAGAATCTTTGTGTCGATGTGTCCACAGATAGCACAGTAGAAAAAATGCCACACTTTCATAAAAATAAAAAAACAAGTCACGTGCAAAGCATATAAAAATGTATCAGCAAAGTTGAATGTATGCACGAAATCAGAGCTTGATTGCTCGTCGAGAATTGTTGATATCAGAATAATGATATTGATTACAAATTAGTCTAGCTCGTAGTATTCGAGTTGCATTCTTGTAATTGGCCACGTCTGAAACGGAACGAAAATTAGTTCGACTGGCAAGCTGAACAGATGATATCAAAAATAGGGTGACAAACAATTATACACCCACGCCGCTCGACTGGCAGTGACAATGTATCATTTGTTTTCTGTGTGTGTGTATTTTACTATCTTCTGCTCAGCTGGCCACTTTCACAAATAATAAACCAATTAAATTGCTCAGCCTAAGCCCTTTACGACAAGACCAAAATGGCGGCTCCCAGCACAAAATCTGGTAATAGAGTGGCGATAAAATGAGCATACCCTATTCAGTGGCTCTACATATATATATTTGTCTTCTGTTAACAATCGGACATCTTCACAAATAGGGCCAAAACATTTATCTATTAGGAGATGCGTCGCGCGTTTCCTTACCAACGTGCCACCATTATTTTGACCACTTTGGGGGTTTCCATTTTCGCAGACTCCGCGGTGCAGACGGTATCTCGACAGTCAGGTCATACACAAGGTGAGTGATGTCTAATATTGTCCAGTGGAATCATTTTCAGGGAGCAGAATGTAGTGATTTCGAAGTGGTCGCGTACCTCATCAAATATTTGCTTTCGGAAAGCAAGTTAAAAGAAACACACCACCAATAAAAAGGAGTAAAGTTTGTTTAGAGGAGAACATTTCACAAGTTAATTTCCCGGCACGTAGGCATTAATGTAACCAGTGTCATTGTTTCTTTCGATAGTTGCACCTCCTGATGCGCAGAAAACTCAGCAGTTGCATGAAACGAAAGGTGAGAATCGCCTAATATATTTTTCTTGACAACTTCTTTTACTTTTAGAAAGCAGAACGCAGTGTGTCTAAATTGTTCGCAAACTCACCCGTTTCATTGACTTCGAGCCCAAAGTCACATAATTTTATACAGAGCTGAAGCCCGTGTCTGAAAAAGGGTTTTAGGTTAGTATGCTCATAAACCATTCATCCAATAACTATATAAACTTTTAAATGTAGAAAATGTTGGCAGCTAACTTCATCACATTATTGAAGTAACGTCGTGTCTCATTAGTTAAATTACAGTTCTTTACTAACTTTATTTTGACGAAGATGACAATTCACATTTATTTTGTCTCCACATAAACGCACCAGCTTTCACTGCCCCAACCTTAACCCTGAGTGCAGCGATTAATCAAACTTGCACTGTGCCAATGACTATTTAGAGTCGAACATGTACAGTTTGTTCGGCAACCACACTACGTTTGAAAGGTTATGAGATATTGCGAAAAAAAATCGGAACGTATCTCAATTAATCTTTCTGTAACTCACGATAGCTTTATTTAACAGAATGAAACTGTGAATGCTACTAGAGCAACTTTTTTCAATAAATAACAGTACCTACATACATTTGTCGCTATGGGACTTTGACTTCTACTCGATCACAGTTTAGGTAGACTTATTGAAAGGTATGGTTCAAAACAGTTACTTTGGCGGCTCTGCTGTAACACTACAACTATTTTAATGTGAACGTACGTAACGCTTTGGGTTTTGGACGCGAGACTTACTTTTTACGTGCTCCTAGCACTGCTCGTAATACCCCATGCACCTGTGGCCCGGCAGCTTTGCTAGCGAAGCACGTTCGCTACTCCTCTGATTCAAACATGCAACGAAACAAAGCAGGCACACTAATTATGCTTCCAATGTTCTCATCTATCCTTTCAGGAGCTCGTTTACAACTCATTAGAAACACCACCGAAGTACGAAACATATGGTTCATCGAATCGTCTGGCAGTCAGGACCTCCCCTTCAATCAAGCTTGCGCCATCGAGTCGGCTTCCCTGCACAACCCAGCCTATTTCATCACCCTTCTCACCACGGGGCAGCTAGCAGCTAGCTGCGAGTACTGCAAGATTCTCCAAACCCTTCCCAACTTCCGCAGCATCAGAACAGATAATGAGCAAGCATTCTTGTCCTCACCGATGGAGGCATGGTACGGCAGCAAGATGTATAACCATAGCAAATACCATGTAGAGCATCTTAGCGATGCTTTGAGGTACGTGACCTTGTGGTGGCACGGAGGCATCTACTTGGACCTCGACGTCATCACGATGAGGTCATTGCACAGCCTTACTAACTGTCTGGTTCTGGAAGAGTGTGGAAGACCGACCAATAGCATATTGATCTTCGACAAAAGGCATCGGTTTCTGAAGACCGTTATGAAAAAGTGTGCCGAAGTGTACAACCCGAGTGAATGGACTACATGTGGTCCGAATCTTCTGCAAAGTCTTTACCAGGGTGGAGAGTCGTCGGCCCAGAACTTGACGTTTTTGAAGGCGGAAACGTTTTTGGCGATCGAGTGGAAGCGGTGGAAGTGGTTTTTTGAACAAACAAGGACAACGGCTGTGTTTCAGGAAGTACGCGAGAGCTACGGGGTTCACCTTTCCAATCACTTGAGCAAGCACACGACGTTTCAAATTGGGTCAGGTTGCGCTTACGAATTGTTAGCAGTATGGAACTGCCCTCGGTCCTATAAGCACCTTGTTTCGAAGAATCGTTCATCAGTGATAGCACCGTATTGTTTCTCGCTTTACGTTATCTCCTCTATCATATATAGCTTCACTTATTTATGTTATAGCACTAGCGGCTAAGATGGTAACCTGTATAGGTTACAAGCCCAAATAAGAACATTTTGGTAGTAGGTGACAAATGACTTACTAGCAATATGATCTCGTTCTGGCGAACAAGCAAGCCTGCATTCTTGCATATTTGTTGACATGTTTCTGTGTGTATATAGGTATGTGTGTGTGTGTCAGTTCAAGCTGCTGCACTGTAGCATTCACGGACGTCTTCAGTATTCGTTGTGATTCCTCTTTTGTGCGCGCGCGTTAGAATTGGCCAGTGTTCGCGTTCTGGGCATTTGCTGGGTTTGTGTAGATCCGTACAGATGACTGTGGTGCTACGACATTGTTGTGGACGTGCCAAAGACCTGCTGCGTGTATCTGTGTCGCGGAAAGTACAAAGTGAAGAAAAAGCTAGGGGTACGAAAGGCTTAACTGCTTGTGAGCGATTTAATTTTTTTTTTTTTTAATTGGAGTTTCTTTTCCGGAGTCAAAACAAATTCATAGCGCGAATGTGACGTCCCTGTATAATGTTGATGGCCATTACTACTTGTTCTTGAGAAAAAAAAATCATTTCGATTGTGCGAAATGTATGCTCCGAATAGTGCGTGCTCGGCAGCAAATCCGCGCAATGGCTGCTGACGCAACGTCAGTTAAAACCATGAGAAGCAGTGTGGTCGCGGAGTATTTTACGCGTACCGCCAGAATAATAGTCTGTGTCTGACATTTTGTTAAGTAACCGGGCACCTTATATGTTATTTATTGAAATTAAAATTATTTTAGATGTGCGAGCTTCGTGTTCCGGACGACGACATCTTTCCATGAAGTTCTTGCGTCGGCGATGCTACCATACGCGGAGTGACTGCATCTCTGTCACAGCTGCCCGTTCGCAGACACAGTTCCGCACAAATTCCGAACTGCCCACGTTACTCAACTAGACTACACAGCAGAAGTCAGAATTAAATGACAACGCGAACGCGTATATGTGCTGCTGCTGTGCAAATAGAACTTCAAGATTACTCTAAAATATTCCGCGGAGAAGAAGAAAGGTTCTGGTGCGCAGAACACATACCTGAACCCGTGAAATCAAGCACATTGCGTTGTGAAATGCAATTGAAATCCATTTGCAGTGAAGATTGTTAAAGATAAAACGCCACGCATCAAATAGGGCTTAAACGGCGAACTTTTTAAGATTAAATATAAATTATGACCAAAATATTTGAAGCTCTCAGAAGTTAATATTTAACTTCATGATTAGCTTTGCATGCACAAATAACCGTTAGATAGCTTCAAAGTAACTACCTCTTTATAAATATTCAGATCATGCAAAACAGATATATGTTTAGTCGCCACTCGTATGTGCGAATAAATGGTTCGATCGCAGCGCATGCTATGAAGTTGCTCCTATTTCCTGCCCGTCAATAGCAGCGATATTTATTGAGAGGATGAAATGCATGTTCATAGACGTTCAACGTGTGAGCGTACATTCCACCCAATCACGATCGTCCTTAATGGCGGATGATAACTGACACCTAAATCTGAGCGTGCGCTGCGAACCACGTACGCGCTCCAATCTGGCAGCAAGTGAATAAAAACCGTCGCCAAGCTGCTTCGTTCATCGCCCAAGATTCAGGCCTGATGAAGGGTGTCACTAAACAGTAACTGAATCACGCGTTTCAATAGTGGTTCCGAAGAACGACGGCAAAAGCTCGTGGCTGTCCAAAGTTTACTTTTATTCCTTCTGGACTGTACACAACTTTTTAGCGCACATCACCCGGACGAAACATGCTGAGTCATTTGGGTCTGGACTCCAACGGATCGTCTGACATTCCACAGAAAAGAGCACCTGCGCGTGCTCGGGGCACGTTGCACAGCCCAATACATAAATTTGCCAGCACGCAAAAGATTATGGGATCGGACTACGTAGCGCCCCACAATGCACCAAGAACACCAAGTAATGTTACTTTGATTAACCAGCTCCAGAGATAAGAACACGATTGGTATCGCGTTCAAGTCGTCATCCAATCGCAATGTAATAACGGGCTCAGCGCTTTGAAGGCTTGCCAGTGGGGTCAGCTAATCGCCCTTCTTCTTGAACAATCTGGTTAAACGAAGATCACTGATTGGTGCACCAGGTGCATCGTGGAGAAGTATACGCGCGGAAACTTTTTGAGAATTCTTTTTCTGGGCGCAAGCTTTTCTTCGCAGTATTAGGCTAGAGTGAGCAGAACTCTGCACAATCTAACCACTGACAGATAAAAACAAAAAACACTCAAAGCACGGCTTAATATGTTCTAGGTCATCGGGTCGTAATGGGTTCTTCGGAGTTCTTATCGATGAATGCTGTAATCTGATGGGATGATTGGATAATAAGATGGCCGGCACTCATCACGCCCTGGATTTCTGAAGTCGTTGGTGACTATAAGGAGCGCAAGTTCGTCTGCTTCTTGCGAAGGGGTGGTACCGACGTCAGAACGCCAAGCTCTGATTGGCTCTGACGCAGGTATAGTAAACAGATCGAAATTCTATCTGCCTTGAGGTGTGCCTACTATCCTTCCAAGCGGAGCCAATCAGAGCTCGGCGTTGTGACGTCACCGCAGCTCCTGCTCGAGAAGCAGAAGAACTTGCGCTCCACATCGAACTGTTAGCGGCCGATCAGTCAATTGATCCGAGCGATAGGTCAGGGACGGTGGACACGGTCCCCGGGCCTTTCGACTTTACGCGTCTGCTAAACGTCATCACCATCTGTGTTTTCCAGTCTCTGTGTGCAAGGACTTCCAGAAACTTCTCGACGTATTATACTCTGTTTTCCCCCACGCTGGCAGTGTGGCGGGAGATGCGCGCTCGCATCAAGCAATCAACCGCCTCCCTTTCAATAACTGACCCCTCCCTCTGCGCGCGGGTATATGGGGAGGAGAGTGATCACGTGGCGAAACACAGACGTACGGCTGGTCCAAGGGCAGGTTAGCCTCCCCCACACTGTCCGCTTAGGGGAGAACGGAGAATAATAGGAGCTCCGTAATCGCCGTCGTGAGAGAACCCGCCCGAGGACGGCAATTACGCCCGCTGCGTTCCCACGTAATTGTCGTCTGACGAGCGGCAAGACTTGGTAGCTTTGTGAAACCTTGCGAGCAGAACATGAGGCTAGAAAAAGAAAATATGTGAGATTCTTTTTTTTTATATATTATTGACTCCGTGGTTTTCCTGGGCCATATGTTGCTCGAAAGCGCTTAAGAAAACCAGCTACTCTGTACTCAAAACGGAAACATAAACGAATAGAAGAAAAATTGATAGACGTTTACAAATATCGTATTGCAAAATTAGAGCGCACCTCTTGAGGAGGAGGAGGTGGAGGGTATGCCCCCTTCCTTCTCCGTACCCTCTCCTCCTCCTCCCCCTCCCATCATCCAATTCCGTTTCCCCGCTAAATTTAGCGGGGAAAAGGACATAACATGAGTGGGTGTCAGGTGCCCCCAGCGGACAAATTAGCGGGGAATGGAATGGGCGTCGAGGTCACGTGACGTCAATTTTCCCGCTAAATTTAGCGTGGTTACGCGGATGCCGCGAAGCACGGAAACGGGCGCCTGAGAGCTGGGCTCTAAAAATTAAGGAGAGTAAAAATAGAAACTCATCAGTGAATCATTATGTATCAAAGCCCCCTTGGCATCGCTTCATATAGGTGAAAAATGGGTTAAAGTTTCTCTTAAGCAGCGCAACAGATGTTTGGTTGTAATGGTCAGGTTTCGCAGGCACCCCCCCCCCCTTTTTTTTTATTAATTTAATCAAAAACTATATTACCTTTTAGGGGCGAAGCTCCTTAGGGGCTAGCCATGTCCGTATGTCTGTCCGCCGTCCAGCGTGCCCCTGCTCGTGAGTTCAGCAGCGAGAGCAAGAAAAAAAAAATGGAAAAATAAAAAGAAGAAAAATAAAATAGGGGGCTCTGAGATGCCATCCCATCTGTCTTCTTAAAAAAGAAACAGCTATATAGTGATTATGTTGCGTATTTATTTAGTAGGTGAAAGTCAACCCAAATGGGCGTCGAAAGTCTCCTCTGGATACGGAAGTTTAGCCAGTGCGGTACCACAGCAAGTCCGGCGTCTTTCACGAGCACCGCACAGTACAGTGATACGGTGCATGGAACGCGTTACCGCCTGGCGTGTTTAGCGTCCTACTCCGCCCATGCATTGAAAGTGGTCCCGAAGTTGCAAACAAACGACGTCGCAAAAGCCGGAGTGTTCAGCTGTCGGAGGTCGCGATCCTGGTAATTAGTGGTAGACATTCCGGAAAAAAAGAAGAAAAAGTACGAGTCAATGCAACTGTCGCTCTCGTCGCTGCATCCCAATTCCTGGCTGCTGAAGCTTCCGTGGACTTTCAAACCCGACAGCAACTCGCAGCAGAACACGCGTCTTCCCTCATCCAACACCACTGCTCTCAGGCCGCCAGGACCGTTGTCATGACGTCATAAGAACGTGTTGCAAAACTTACTCGATTTTACTCCGGGGTAAGATTTTTTTGTACCTTGGCGTTCTAAAACCAACTCGCGTCTAACGTTTTTTGTTTTTTTTTTAGTTTGTGTTGTTACGTGACACAACCCGCCGGAGTAACTAGTCGGATCCCTTCTGGACAAGATTTGGAACGCAGCCAGTGTGTGTCCAACTTTTTGATTGGGGTCATATGATTTCAGGGGGCCCAGTTGGCAATAACGAGCTTCGCGGAGGTGACGAACGCGTTGATCGTGGGCGAGCTTCTCCGCGTTTCCGCCTGCTTTCCTCCTCGCCACGCGACAACGCCGCGCGTGCGCACTTGCGACCAATCGGCGCGAAAGGCGTCCGCCATTAAATTGTCTAATGCTCCCGTGGTATGAGACGACTACTCTCTACAATCTAGGCTCTCTAGCGTGACACCTCTATGGCGTTATCAGGCGGAAATCGAGGGACCAGTTTTTTAAACGCGGTAAACACGGCAGTCGGAGACGTGGTCCAGACACCATAATGTACTGATATTGTCACGGGTGGTGAGTCGTGACCAATAAACAAGAAATAAACAGAAATAAATAAACGTTTAATGTGGCGAACTTGTGCCAAAAATAAAGAAGGAAACAGAAGAAAGCAGAGCGTCGCGGGCGTCGAAGTCGGCGTGTCAGCAGAATCGAGCGCTGGGGCGAGACTGACTCGACAAGGTCGCGGGCGGCCTCTTATCTAGAGTGAGTCAGTATCTCGAAGATTCGGCGGAGAAGGTTCGAGCGTAGCGCGCTCGGGGCGAGAATGAACAAGCACTTTCTAGAACAACAAAAACAGGGATGAACGATAGTTATGTCCGCAGCAAGAGTGAACGAGAACTTTCCACAAGTCCGTGACCCTGCGCGCGGCATTATCCCCCCCTTTAAAAAGTGCATCGTCCCGATGCAGCACAAAACGAAAAACAACAAACAAAAACAAATCCAAAGCAAAAAGGCAGCAGAATCGCGAGCCGCAGTTCACAGTTCACCCGTCGACGAGAGTGGAAAGTTCTATCGTTCGTAATACGGCTTCAGCCGGACGACGTGCACCACCTCGGGTCGCGGCTGACGTCTTGCAGATGGG